CTATAGTAGGATCGTATACGATGCAAAGTAGAGCAAAAAATTGTCGGCCTTTTATCAAAGGAAAATCGTGTCATCATTTTTAGGAGGCGTAAGATAAATCATTTCAAATTTAAAATGAAATTCAATGTAAAATCTGAAATACCGCTGCATACGCACTGTGTTCTGGTAGTAGCTGTAGTCGCCCAGGTGCATCGAGTGTACGAACTGGTCGGTTATACGTCAAATACTAACCTGGCGAGCTTTGCTGTCAATTAGAGAGCGCTTCCAAAAAACAAGTAAACAACAGTGGCGCGTACAGAGGTAAAATGTAGTACATATGTGGAATTTAGGAAACAAATTGGATTTATAATAAATTACATTTAAAATAAATAGTTTATGAGAATAAAGGAATTTTTGTAGCAACAAGGGTGCCAGACCTGAACTGATCCCCTCGTCCCTTCATAATGTATAAAGAAATTATTCAATTTGTAAAACCCTTAAAGGCGTACTTCATTGGTTCCCTTGACAGGCAATGATTTATTACTTTGCATCGAATATGATCGTACTATAGGTACCAGTAATTCTTTTATGTTGTTAAATCCGTAAGGCGGTATCTCGTTAATGTTAACGTAATTTCATCGACACATCTGAACCAATTCTTTAGTTTTAGAGTAGCTGACTCTAGGGAATTCTTCTTGAATGCCTCCACTTAGGTATATATTTTAACTGAAAACGGCAAGTCTCAAGTAAAACATGGCATTTGATAATTCTTTATTAACTTAGTAGTATGTCTTTAAATAGTTTGAAAATTATAGAGTCAATGCCATTTCTTCATGATCTTTATGTGATGCGATAGATGAAACAAATGTAAATATATGCCTAATTTTGCTGGACTACATACATATGTCAACATATGCAGTATCGTGGGGGTGGTGTATATACCGACACATTCAATAATCAAAGAAAACAAGTCAGCTCAAATGTACGAATACCACTAGCTACACTTCAAGCAAGCGATTGATATGCAGCAACTGAGTATACACAACACTGGTAGAATGCTTAGGAATATTTGAGGGGACACTGATTATGTGTTTCACAATTTACAAATGTAGGTACATCGTGTAATAATCTGCAAATATTTTAACATTTATCTATGTAACAAATGACCGTGTCATCTGGAGTTGTATATATTAACAAGTATGCGTTATTCAATTAAAAAGAATATATTTTCTAAAAGCCGGTTAGTTATTCATACCAGTAACTTGTACGACAGTGTAATCATAATTGTACAAACACTCGTTTCTATAGTGAGTTTGAATAGCCTCAGAATCCTATTTCCTTGCTTCTTGGAAATATTTAAGCAATTGCTAGTGTAACGCTAGATATTAGGAAAATATATAGGATTCAGCTATGGACAGTAGTGTAACAAATATTCAGTCATGTAGTAGTGGTCCAATTGCAGTGATTTTGGTGTTGTTGTGCTAATTGGGCCATTCTGCATCGAATAGACGTAGTCTAGGCATTCCATTATATTGTTTTACCGTTTTCGAGGTACAATGCGATTCTTAATTTTAAATATCTCTATTTCTAAACTAGATGGCAAAAATAGATGCGTTGAAAAAATTAATTTTGAATTTATTTTACTAAGCTGTTACTTGTCAGTGTTTGTATACTCTATCATTTTTATTATAACTACGTTCATTTTTCTAATGTACTTACCAGGAATTTGTTTGTTGACAAATAATTCTTTAAAATTTTTACTGTCCACTAATCCAATGTAAACATTTTCAATTGCTATTACTCACCACATCATACTTAACTTTTGAGTTACAAATGGGACTAGTAATGAAATATTTTTATGTGTGCACACCAACTGGACAAAAACACTGCATAATGGCTATTGGCTAGTAACTAGTCTGAAATATTTAAATGTAAAACAAATTGACTACCATTTATCAATGCATATTTTTTTTCTAGGCTCATCCAAAATACTCTTACAACTACGGAGTTGCTGATGGCGTAACTGGAGACAGAAAGAGCCAACAAGAAGTACGTGATGGTGGTGTTGTGAAAGGATCCTATTCCGTTGCGGAGCCAGATGGTTCCGTCCGAGTGGTCGACTACGCAGCAGACGACGTAAACGGTTTCAACGCTGTAGTGAAGAGAATTGGGCCCTCGGTACATGCAGCTCCTCTCCGACCTGCTCCCGTGGCGGTAGCAGCTCCCGCAGCATTTGGACACGCTGGTGTCTATGGTCATGGCCATTATTAAGTTAACGATAGCACAGTCTCTATTAGATTTGTTAAAAATTTGTACACGTGAAGTTTCTGGTATTTCATATTAGTTCCGCCATAATGGTAATTGCTTTTGCAACTTCATTTGTTTTAGTGTTTATATTTATAAAGTTTTTATTACCAAAATTTTTTATAATGTTCAATTTATGGATGAAACTTTTAAAATCCAACAATTTTTCCAGTTTTTTAAAAACATTCATTAATCAAAAATCATAATTACTTTTAAAACCAGCAATCTCTTTCTTAAAAATATTTGACTATTAATTAATTTCACGTCAATAGAGACTAGAGAGAATTTATAATTAAAAAGGATATACGAGTAGGACTACGATAATGGTATATTTTAAAGCAGTTGTATATTTATTTTTTTGTTTTTGGAGTAGTGTTTCCAAGAATGCGTGATACATAGCACAAACGCTATTTCGATTTATAATGAATTGTACATGGCAAATACATTGTAATATATACAGTATTTTAGTATATTTTAACTTTACGTGAAAATAGTTGTTGTATTTGTAAAATATTTTAGTAATAAAATATAATAGCTTATATAGTACATCACTGTTTTTTTATAGAGGTAAACAAATATTAGTAGATATAAAAAGTATACAAAACAAATATAAGTAGGAAAGTAATAATAAGCTTGTGTTAAAATTCTTAAATAGAAAATTCTGATACAAAAAAAAAATAATAATGAAAGCATGAGGGAGTACTCAGGCATGGACAACCATCTATTTGTATACAGAAATCTGTGCCAATTGACAGGTGATTGAATACAATATTACTGAAGTTAGTAAAAAACGACATACTAAGCAAACGTAAAATAATTATATCTAATTTATTCTAAAGAAAAATGTTAGTTAGGTATCACATTATTATCTATTAAGTTTCAGGCCACCCAAATCTATTTTTTCGTATCACATTATCTATTTATTTGAATAAGAAAGAAACAGGTTACTGACAATCCAACTATATATCTCTTTAAAAAAATTTACTCGTAGGTATGTATACAGGGTGTGGCGTGTATAATCTATAAAAATTAAACTACAGCTTCCTGATGATATTTGTAATAGAAAAAGTTCTATCTTCGCGTATTTTTTTGTAATTTAAAGTTCATTTATTCAACGAAAATGAAGGCCGACCTTGTGTTATTTATTAAAAACTTTACGACCCGAGATGCAGCATTATAATTTAAGTAGGTAGATTATCTAATACTAGTAACAGTAAAAGAAGGTTAGGTTACATTGTCAAAAAATTTGTGCAGTCAACTGATTTTGTATTTGTATTGAAATCATTATTCACTTAATTATTAAATAATAAGCATCGTCCATCGACCCATCAGTATTAAAAAGTGAAAGATTCCAGACAAAAGTTTTTATTTTGTAATTCCACGATAGTGACAGTGTAATTTTTATAAAGAAGTAAAAATTAAGAATAGCCTGTAGATTACATTAAAAACGAGATTCTTATTTCTTACTTTGCTTAATTTTTTATTTGTTTAGTTTGTGCACAAACTAGTTTTACAATGAACCGAGAAAACAATGCATTTACTGTTTCCGAACGTGTCGATATGGTGTTAGTGTATGGTGTAGCCGGAAAAAATGCGCTAGGTTGTACCGCGAACGATGGCCACAACGCCACCTACCATGTGTAAATATAAACCTGCAGTACGTTCAGCGGCTGCGAAATACGGGAAGTGTTATTCCTCGAGGAGAAGGACGTGGTCAGTAAGTGAACCTTAATGTTGAAGATGCAATATTGGAAAATCTTGACGAAGACCCAACCCCACCTCATCTCGTACCGTAACATTGCATCTTAAAGCGCCAGCTGTTGCACCCCTATCATTTGCAACCAGTTCAACAGATTTTACCCCCGGATTGTGATCAAGGAATGTATTTTTGCAGATGGTTTTTAGGGCAATGTGCCAAAATTGGATGCGTCGCCGTCGGTGCCAAGCTTGTGTTCGCGCTAATGGGAATCAATTTCAATAGTTTCTCTAGAAATGGTAAGTTTTTTTTCATTTGGTTGTTCCATATTTTAATGGAGTTTGTTTAGTGCACGCAGTTGGCAACTACAGATGCTTACGGATGTGGTTTTGTTTGCGAAATCTTGCAGTAACAACAATGCATTTAAGATAGCAATTAGGTACTATTAATTATTATAATAAGAAAATGTCGTTTTTTTAAATATCTATTTTTCTTAGTTTATACTTTTGCATTGAAAAATTCCCCAAAAATTGAGAAGTATCTTTCTATCTTTCAACGACGATTTGTTTACGCGACTGATCTACAGCACGTAACTCATCGTACAGCACACGGACAGGACTGTTCCAGAGAAAATATTTTGATATATAATTGATTGAATTTTAATTTACGAAAAAAAAAAAACGCAAAAATAGAACTTTTTCGTATAAGAACTTTCTATTACAAATATCGTTAGGAAGCTGTAGTTTAATTTTTATAGATTATACACGCCANAAATTAAACTACAGCTTCCTGATGATATTTGTAATAGAAAAGTCTTATACGAAAAAGTTCTATCTTCGAGTTTTTTTTTGTAAATTAAAGTTCATTTAATCGAGGAAAATGAAGGCCGACTCTGTGTTATTTATTAAAAACTTTGCGACCCGAGATGCAACCCTATAATTTAAGTCGGTATAATCTAATACTAGTAATACTAAAAGAAGGTTAGGTTACATTGTCAAAAAATTTGTGCAGATTTTGTATTTGTATTGAAATCATTATTCACTTAATTATTAAATAATAAGCACCGCCTATCGACCCATCAGTGTTAAAACGTGAAAGATTTCAGACAAAAGTTTTTATTTTGTAATTTCACTATAGTGACAGTGTAATTTTTATAAAGAAGTAAAAATTAAGAATAGCGTGTCGATTACATTAAAAACGAGATTCTTATTTCTTACTTTGCTTAATTTTTTAGTTTGTGCACAAACTAGTTTTACAATGAACGGAGAAAGCAATGTATTTACTGTTTCCGAACGTGTCGATATGGTGTTAGTGTATGGTGCAGCCGGAAAAAATGCGCTCCCGGCGACTAGGTTGTACCGGGAACGATGGCCACAACGTCACCCCCCATATGCAATTATAAACTTACAGTACTTTCAGCGGCTGCGAGATACGGGAAGTATTATTCCACGAGGAGAACCTTAATGTTGAAGATGCAGTACGAAGAAAAAAATAGAACTTTTTCGTATAAGACTTTTCTATTACAAATATCGTTAGGAAGCTGTAACTTATTTTTATAGATTATACACGCCACACTCTGAGTACATCAAATGTGTAGGTCACAGAATTACGTTTCAGATGTATGTCCTTGAAATTCTTTCCTACAAACTCAGTTCAGTATAAGACAGTACATTATCCAAATACCACATATTGGTATTAATTCAGATCGAAATATAGCAGCAAGTTTTTGAACTCGCAATAACATTATAACATAGCAATTCAGTTAGTAATGGTGTTAGAAATCCATCATCATATGAATTTAGGAAAATGATATCCATGGACAGTAGTTTTTGTTAATTTTCTGGTGGTAACTGGTAGATACTATTATTTATGTGTGGGTGTTAAATTTAATACACGTGATCTTATCAACGGACTATTTGCGTTTGTCATTACAATATCATTATATGCAATATTAATTCCTCATCAACACTTGACTATGGTTTCTTACCGCAATTAAATATGGTAATAGTTACATATCCTTTTTTTATTTGCAAGATAACAAAATAGTAATCTGCAGATCAGGAGAAATACATGCATGTAATGCATAGTTAAAGAGCGGATCAGCACGCTTATGAATGGACCGAAATTGCGCCAGGATTATTCATAAAAATGTAATACTTGCAATCTCTAGGGTTATCTGTTGGGAAATAATCCTTGAGTTCAGTGAAAATATTCACAATAGAGGTACCTACCATTGTCTAGCTAAATGCAGCACCAGTCACCATTTTAAGTGCTTTCTCAGTGGCAATTATTGCAGAAATTAACAGTTTTGTTTCTAAACAGAAAAATGAAAGAAGTTGATTTACTAACAATGAGTAAAATTATAAATCTTGCACATTTTGTATGTAAGAGAAAGTTCTGATCTTTATTTTTGAGTGCGGATATTTTTAAAAAGGGGTAGTGACTCCGAAGTTTCACTCTGAAGATGGTTAGGTGGAGGATAAGTAAAAAGTGTATAGTACCTGCGTGCTTAAACAAAAATTCATGTTAAACCAGAAAATTTTGGCCTGTACTACAGTATGTACAATAATGCAGCTTTGCAAAGAAAACTAAAGATACCAAATACATACTAAAAGATAGCAGAATTTCACATACAAGTTTATTGTACAATATCTTCCCAGTGAGAACATAATAGTTGAAAAATCGATAAAATAACGTTGATATAACGTTAAAAGTTGGAAGTATAAGTAGTAAGATTTTAAATTGCACGAATTTTTAAACGAACGTCAAGGAAACGAAATATAAAAAAAGTTAATTGTATAGGTTCTTAAACGTTAAAAATCCGAGAAAATTTAATAAAATTATTGCAATTAAAGTGAAGCCAAGTCAAGAAACGTTGGACTAACCTGTTTATTTAAAATTATTGGTCATGTGTCTTGTAATCAGTTACTGTAGTTACAGTAGTGCTGAAAAACCGTAAAGTAACGTCAAACTTCTAGTTAAAAATAGACAGGATTAGCGGGACATTTAATAATTTTATATACTGTAAACTTTCTAACCTTCGACGAATATAGCAATTTTATAATTATAAAATATGTTCAAAATTGTTCTCATTTCCCTGATCACGGAATTGTGTTCAGTGTATCCAAGATTATATCTTCCTGAGGAATTGGTTATGCTTCGAGTTAATTCACATAAATGCTCAACCGTCTAGTCAGAATAAACCACCAAACATTTTATAATTGTTCCTATAGGTAGACTTCGCATGGATGTAGGTCTGGCGACTGGATATACCTTAATACAGGTGCATTACGTAGCGTTAATCTCTATGGTAGAATGATAGTGCCATTAACAAAACCTGCCCTTAAGTGAAAATCTTTGCTGGAAATACGTTATTTGGACCTCATGTAGATTTTCCATGGACCGTATGTGGTTATTGTAACAGTTGTTTACCCTATTTCATGTAAATATTGCCTCGACTGTTACCAACATACACTCATAAAAATTATCAGGGCAGTATGTATACGACTAATTTTATATTTCATTAGAATTTTCAAAACTTTAATGTAAGGTGCATTAAACAGTAACGAAAAATTTGTCTGTTGCTAATAAAAGGTTGTTATTCGAGAAGATCGAATCAATTTTGAAGCTTTTTACCATCACGGTTTCGCTAAACGAGATTAGCAATTCTTCGGCGTCTGGGATGTATTTGCATAGAGGCGAGATGCTTATGCAGCATTTTGACGACATTCTCGGTAAATTAAAATCATGTCTACGAGTGCGTCATATTGTATTTTGTGCCATTTTGGTTAAACTGGCCACTAAAATAGTCGAGCAGTTGGATAAAACATTAGCAATAATGTCCGTAACA